ACCCGGTGCTGCCATCTAGCGGCAGGTCTCGGGCCCAGCAAGCGGGCGGTCGGAATCCTGTTTGAACTTGGCTTGCGGCTGGAGCTGTGGTTTGGCTCACATCCTTAGAGAGGTTTGTTGCCAGCCATGTAGATTTTTTTAATTTTTTTCTCCTTATGCCCCCTTTTATTTTCACATGTTGGCACTCCACTGAATGTGCCTCTGGAAGCTACATTTTGGGTTTTGATGTATTTGGTCAATGTTAGAGAATGTGTTACTCTTCTTTTGGAAAAGAAGCAATTGTGCAGATAGAGGCCTTTGACAGCAGGTAAATCACAGGCTGGCTGACTCTAGAAAGGTAAACACGGGGGAGTAGACTGGGAATTAAAGATTCGATGAGGTTTATTACTCTTATTCACTGGTTAGGTAGATTTTTTTTTAGAATGTTCTGACCTTTTCCTTGAAAAGGTCACCACCTCTGTTGCTTAGATCTGGGGAGACACAAACGCAAGCTGGAATTTGGGGCAAACCATTTGAGGGTGCCAGTCTGGCTTAAGAGGTGTGGTAGGCACATCCCTGTAGATATCCAAATTGGAACAACTTTCCTTGTTCCCAGAAAACAGCTGGTGTCTGTAGACCTTCCGTGGCTGGCGAGGACACAGGTCCTTGTAGTTACTCTGCTCTTAGAGAGCTCTAGTCTGGAGCCGCCAGGAAGGCACCAGTCTCCCCTGAGGCCTCAAGGCAGGAACATTGTTTAGTTCTCTTCTGTGTCCTGAAAGCCTGGGAAACGCAGTATTTGTATTCCAGATCTGTCTCTTGTGGGACCTTGGGCAAGTTTTCTAACCTGTGATTCCTCAGCTGTGTGATGGGGAAGATATAGAGTCTTTCAGTGAAAGAAAGAATATAAGGGTCTTAGCACAGAGCCTAGACACGCAGAATACGTGTTCTGTAGGTGTGAGTCAGCGTTAGAAAATGTTTCCTGTATGGAAGAGTGAACGGAAGGATCTGTGACCCCGAGTCACCGTGATGCTGCGTGGTGCCGGTGGGATGTGCCTGAGGGGGCGGGAGGCTCTTTACTAGCCACATGTCACCAGAGCAGTGGTTCTCAACCTTCCTAATGCCATGATGTATTTTCATTATTACAAAGGCATCGTGACCCACAGGTTGAGAACCGCTGCACTAAGCCTGTGACGTGAGGACCAGTGATTTTGTCTCTTGGCAAAATTGGGGAAAGCAGGCTCGGCGCCTATAGCTCAACCGGCTAAGGCGCCAGCCACGTACACCTAAGGTGGCGGGTTCAAATCCCCAGCCCGGACCCGCCAAACAACAATGACGGCTGCAACCAAAAAATTGCCAGGCGTTGTGGCGGGCGCCTGTGGTCCCAGCTACTTGGGAGGTGGAGGCAGGAGACTCGCTTGAGCCCAGGAGTTGGAGGTTGCTGTGAGCGTGATGCCATGGCACTCTACCCAGGGGGGATAGCTTGAGGCTCCGTCTCAAAAAAAAAAAAAAAATTGGGGAAAGCAAAGTGAGGGGTCTTAACTAACCTGTGTTTGAATTTACTCCTTCAGCTGCTGGACTCAATTAAGGAGATGGAGGAATCACCAGTGATTCTCTGGAGTTTTTATTTTTTTCTTCCAGATCTAGTTCTTTCCTTGGGATACTAAGGATGTACCCCATATTCACACCAATCATGTGCCAGGGAAATGATCGGATATGTCAGTTTTGCAACAATGTGACCCTAGAGAGGATATAAAGATATACATATCCCAGTGTCATCAGAAGGGAGAAAAACCCGCTAAACCTATCGCTAAGGCTTAGGTTTGTTCTCTGTGTGTATGTACAAAAAAAATTCCAGATGTGAATCTACAACCCATCTGGTTGGAATAACGTTTATGCTGGACTGTAATTACAAGCTATTTATTATGAATCTTGGGATCCCGTTATGGATTTTGACTGGCTCCCTGCTTTCTAATTTAACAAAGAGCTCCTATAGTTAAGAAAGTGTGTGCCTTCCTACTGATCAGACCCCAAATTGTGTCTTCACACCACTCTGACAGCCCTGAGAGCTTTGAACTCCTTGTGTCTGAGGATTCTTCTCTCCAGAGAGGAGATGCACTTGGGGTGGCGCTTTGCTAAAGCTGCAGCCAGGTTCTCCAAATGCACAAAGTATTGACATCTTGGTAACAGGAGCTCTGCTTGTGAAGGGTAACAGGAGCTTTGCTTGTGAAGTTTACTTCTCAGTGGAACTGGGGTTGGGAAGCTGGTATCAAAACATGGCTTGCTGGGGCTGCAGTTTGCAAAGCAGAGTCAATGTTAACACCAAGCATCATATGATTATTCTTGATGAATTTCTTTGAAATAGGAGGGGATTATTAATTTGTAAAAACATACATCTTTAATTTGAAGGTGAGCATTACAATCTGTTACCTTTGTAGTTTAAGGAAAACTATACAAATAAATCTAAGGGCTATGACTTAGAGTTAGCCTTAACCTCACCATTGTTCTGAAGAAGCAAGGGTAAGGGAGGGGACTTTGGGGGGCTTGGAGCCAACATGTCTGGCTTCAGATGGTGGGTCTACTGTTCACAAAGGGATGGTGGAATGCTCCTGCAGGCTACTTAGCCTCACTGGTGACAAGAATACTGTCACCAGTGCTTCCCAGCCCTGGTTGCACTTTGGAAATTACCTGGGAGCTTGAATAAACACAGGGTAGGAGATAGTGCCTGTCTTTGTTAAGAACTCCACGGGGGGTTATAATTTGCAGCTAAGGAAGAAGACCACTGTCTCACAGGATTGGAAAGAGTCAATGAGGTTAGCCCCATGGGGGCACTTACCATGTAAAAGATACCAAAAAGGAAAAATAAAGAAAGACAGAGGGAGACTGAATCGCTCAGGGCAACCCTACCCTGCCATCAGACACAACAACCTATAAATGAAAGAGCAAAACTGCAGAAAGGACGTGGGGTGCAGGTGGCTGCAGACTGCTGCCCTTCCTCTGAGTGTTGGATGGGTCCTGGGACCGAGTCAGGAGTAGTCAGCATATTCTCCCCAGTCTTCCTTAATTAGAATGAGCCTTGTTTTCTGTTTGTCATCAAGTGGGCTAGTCTGAGCAATGCTGGCTGTGGTGGCTTATTCTTCCCATGTCTCAGCTGGCCTTGCAATGCCAGGAGGGCAGGGAATAACATGAGGAGAGAGAGGTGTGTAGTCATCCGGAGGCCCTGTACCACTCACTCTGGAGGGTTGTGATGGCGAGGTGGGGGGAGTATGTGCTGGGATTCTCAGAGGTCCTGATCTTTGAAAGGAGAGGGGATGACAGTCTGGATTTATTTTAGAACTAGATACTGAGAGTGTCTTGGGGAGGGCTCCAGAAATCCCAGAGAATTTGAGGATAGCACGGAAGGTGACATGTTCTATCTTAGAGCTGTCTTGGGGCTGGACTTTGGTGTATAGGCATGGCCTGGGTTCCCAGCTCCCAACACACACACACACACACACACACACACACACACACACACACGTATGCCTCCTTGGTTCTAGACCAGAAAAGGTGAGATCTTCACTGGCCTCATGATATCAGGGCATACTGGGTGCACTTGTGAACCTTCTCAAGGTCATTGGCAGGCCTGAGTTAGGACTTCTCTTGTATATATTCCAAGAAGGTTCTAGGTTCATTTCAAGGTGAGCAGAGATGGCCAGTTGTTACTCTTCAGTCTGCCCCCAGATCAGGCAGTGAAGGTGAGAACACCAGCCTTCACCCTGGGTAGGCTGTGGGTGTGCCCACATTTGTGCCTTCAACTTGAATTCCAGCTACTGCGAGGCTGTGTAATCTTTTAAAAGTACTACCTTCTGGCTCGGCGCCTGTGGCTCAAGCGGCTAAGGCGCCACCCACATATACCTAAGGTGGTGGGTTCGAATCCCTAGCCTGGGCCTGCCAAACAACAATGATGGCTGC